GGATGCTTTGCGTGACGAGGCTCAGTCTGCCGTCGGTGGTTCAGAGATGGAGCCCCGAGGGATGGGGTCCTAAGGATAGGAAGGGACCCCAGGGTGAATCTACATTGCATGAGGCACCTCGATGTTATGACCCCATCCCTCAAGACCCCATCTTTGAATCACCTAAAGATTTCTGCCTTTCAAGAGAGGGTTCCCAATAGCCTCGGGCCCAACCCCCCCCGGTCACGCCGCACACACGTCTTCCCATGCGGCGTGTCGTCCGCCCAAGCTGGCCCCAAGATGGCCTCTCCAAGACGGCCAAGATGACTTGAGATTGCTTCCGCGATTCCTGATATGGCCCCTTTATACAGGGCCAAGATAGGCCCGACGGACGGCCCGAAGGGACTGGCCCCAAGACGTCAACAAGAGGGCCAAAGTTGACCCTAAGAGCGGCCCAGGAAGTCCGAAGGGCTCGTCTAACTGGCCTCCGAAACCACATGTTTAACAATGTCTTCCCGGAACATGCGCAGCCAACCCGATGCGCCCCTCCCACCATCCCTGTCAAAAAAACAATACATAGTACACTTGGCGGCGGCGGCGGCGGCTGCGGCGGCGGCGGCGGCGGCTGCGGCGGCTGCTGGCGGCGGCGGCGGCGGCGGCGGTGGCGGTGGCGGCAGCGGCTGCGGCGGCTGGCAGCAAGCGGCGGCGGCGGCGGCAGCGGCAGCGGCGGCGGCGGCAGGCGGCGGCGGCGGCGGCGGTGGCGGCGGCAGGCGGCGGTGGCGGCGGCGGCAGGCGGCGGCGGCGGCGGGCAGCGGCGGCGGCGGCGGCGGCGGCGGCGGAGGCGGCGGCGGCGGATTGGCCCCCAGTAGCTGCTGAATATGCTCAGGCTCGGGCCAGACTCGGGTGCTACGTATGTGTTGGGAGGGCGGGTGGGAGTGAGCGAGACGGCTTGCGGGCGGGGAGGGGGTCTTGACTCCTCCCCCTACCCCCTCCCCGTGGACCTGGACGGGGGGGGGGGGGCGCGAGCGGTCAGAGCGTCCAAAACGGCCTCGGCGAGGAAGCCAACATCATTTTACTAGGGTGTGGGCCCCATGTTGGCCTCCTGGGGAGGCAACCCTAATTGAAGCTCCGCTCTTCGTTGATAGATGTCCTCCAAGATGGCACAACGAAGCGCCCAGGCGGCCCCAAAAAGGTCACAAGATGGCCCCAAGAGGCTCCCAAGAGGCCCCCAGGAGGCCCCCAAGAAGACCCTCAGCGGCCCCAAGAGCCCCCCCCCCGCGGCACCCAAGACCCCGAAGAGCCCCCCAGGATCGCCAAGAGACCCCCAAGACGTCCCAAGAGGCCACCAAGAATCGCCCAAGAGATACTCCAAGAGGCTCCGAGGGGCATCCAAGAGACCTCTGGCCCTTGTGCTTGCCCTCCTCCTCCTCCTGTTCCTCCTTCCTGCTCCTACTCCTTCTCTTCCTCCTCCTCCTCCGCCTCCTCCTCCTCCTCCTATTCATCCTCCTTCTTCCCACTCCCTCATCCATCCATCCATCCACCTCCGCCTTCTCCTCCTCACTCCTTTGCACGGTTCGGCCGTCCTCCTCTTTGCTGCCGCACTTCCCTGATCACCTCAACTCGCCTGGACATCGTTTCTGGATGGGCTGGTGGGGACACGCAAAGCGTCTAGAATTCATGTATCCCCTTGAGACCCTCAGGGATCCTTATCCCGGCAAAGCAACCTAACAACGATGTGTAGAAGCATATCTGAAAGCATTCCCCTGAAGATTCAGATGAAAATCCAGTTGTAGAATTCTGCTGTTCTCGCAGTCGTAGTCGCATTCGCGATGACAGTCGCAGCGGCAACGGCAGTCGCAGTCACAGCCTCAGCCTCAGCCTGCCTCAGCCTCAGCCTCAGCCTGCCTCAGCCTCAGCCTGCCTCAGCCTCAGCCTCCGCCTGCTTCAGCCTCAGCCTCAGTCTGCCTTCAGCCTCGGCCTCAGCCTCAGCCTGCCTCAGCCTCAGCCTGCATCAGCCTCAGCCTCAGCCTCAGCCTGCCTCAGCATCAGCCTGCTTCAGCCTCAGCCTCAGCCTGCCTCAGCCTCAGCCTCAGTCTGCTTCAGCCTCAGCCTCAGTCTGCCTTCAGCCTCGGCCTCAGCCTCAGCCTGCCTCAGCCTCAGCCTGCCTCGGCCGCAGCATCAGCCTGCCTCAGCATTCAAAATGTGGCCCAGGAATGGAGTTCTGGGAACTAGAAGAACACGAAGTGGCCTACAGTTGGCTCCGGGCATTCAAAATGTGGCCCGGGAATGGAGTTCTGGGCAGTCGTAGAACACGAAGTGGCCTACAGTTGGCTCCGGGCATCCAAGATGTGGCCCGGGAATGGAGTTCTGGGAAGTCGTAGAGCACGAAGTGGCCTACAGTTGGCTCTGGGCATCCAAAATGTAGCCCGGGAATGGAGTTCTGGGAAGTCGAAGAGCACGAAGTGGCCTACAGTTGGCTCCGGGCATTCAAAATGTGGCCCGGGAATGGACGTCTGGGAGGTCGAAGAGCACGAAGTGTGTGACTGTTTGCGAAAAACGAGTGCGGCGGCAGCCGCGGCGGCAGCCTGTCCTGGTCCCGCCCAGACCCCCCTGAGGAGTCATGATGCTCTCTTTTGAGACCACTAGAAACCTATCAGCAAGAGCTGTTAAGTAAAAACGTCCTCGAATGTTCAGCTTTACCACTAACGCTCAAGCAGGCCCAACAGAACCCCCAAATCGCCCGAAGACGGCCCAAAAGGCATCTAAGAGAGCCCAAGGACGGCCCAAGGGCCACAAGGTGTTCCAAAAGGTAGCTCCCGGATGACACCCAAGATGTTGCATGCCTCCAATACATCCAATCTACCTCCAAGAGGAGAGCCCCCAATGGGCCTCCTCATGCTCCTCCTCCTTCCCGTCCGCCTCCTCCACCTCCTCCTCTTCTTCAACATGGCTGGAGTAACGCACAGTCCAATTGCTTGGCCAAGTCTTGGCCCAACGTGTGGCCGCAGATGCGCTTCCAGAAAGGCTGGGGCGGCGGCGACTCGCTGTAGGCGTCTTCGATACTTGTCTATGAGTGGCGTTGACAGCATGAGGAGAATGAATAAAACCAGCGAGGGCAACAAGAAGTTCACCAGGATCCCCAGCGGCGTCACGTCAGAGAAGCCTGATGGCAGGACGAAGTTTAGAAGATTGTCTTCAGGAACTGCCACCTCGGGAAGTAGCCCGTCTTCTCCGCTGGGGTCTAGCTGAAGATCACCATTGGGAAGCTCCTTGAGGTAACTGTCCACGGCCGTGCGGGCTCTTAAGGCCACCTCTTCAATGCCCTCGGAAACCGTGAGGGAGCCTCTTATCCGCCTCTACTAGGGGGAAAACAAACCTACCTCGCTTTTGACCACCCTCGCTTCCAAGAGATACCAAACGATGCCAAATTGCAGCCTGTACTGGTCAGGCCGCTTGACGAGGAGGCGCGTGGTATGGCTTGGTTTTGCCTGGAAGCGAAAGCGGGGTAGGTAATTCACGCTATGATCTACGTCATGTCATGTCCCCGTGGAAGTTCGGGATTGGCGCTTGTTGCGTCGGGGTACAGAAAGGAACGGACACGATGGCAGACTCGCAAATCGACGCGACAAAATACATTCACAACACAGAGCAAACCGCCACCGTGCAATACGGATTTGAGCGAACTGTCATCGGGTCTCTCTGGGTTTCTGCATGGAGCATCAAGCATACTTTTGTCGGCGGCCAGCCTGAGGGGGACTGAGGCGGGCCTTCTCAGAAGCCTCGGACATCCTCTGGCCTTCTGAACGGTTTTCGAAGCCTTCCCCGACGACACAGAAAACGTCTCAGAAGGCGCGAGGGCGTCTGCAAAGCCCGTCTGAGAGGACCGTCTCTTTCTCACTTCCCCCCTCGCTCGCCGATGAATCAAGCATACTTGTGAAGGGGCCCACACTCCAGAATTCCTGGCGCTCCTGGGAATCGCCGCGTGGGGCCTACGATGCCTGCCGGGCCCGTCCTGGATCATCCAGTGGGCGCCTCTGGCGCGCTTTTGGGGCCGCCCCACTCCTCGCCATCGATCGGACGTCCATTCCCTGTGTTTTTGTTCGGTTTCGTGCGTGTTTTTTTCGCCAATTGGTCAAGGATGCTCCTCGATGGCCCTCGCCGAGAAAAAAATGCACACGTCCGAGCGATGCCAAGACCCAGCCCTCTGGCATGCTCGAACTTACGATCGGCGGCGAGCCCGGGGGGAAGTGAGAAACGGCGGGCATTCTCAGAAGGCTCGGAAGCCCCCCGGCCTTCTGAGACGCTGCCTAAGCCTGCCCCGGAGACGCAGGAAGCCTCTCAGGCGGCCGGGGGCCTTCTGAGAAGCCCCCGCCGCCTTGTCAGAAGGCCTCTTCTCCTTCTCACTTCCCCCCCTCGCTCGCCGCCGAGGAAGAGAGCCCAAGACGGCCTCCGAAATCACCCCCAAACGGCGTCCAAGCCCCCACGAGGGGCCCCAGAGGCAAGGAGGATGAGGAGGAGAAGGAGGAGGAGGAGGAGGAGGAGGAGGAGGAGGAGGGAGGAGGGAGGAGGAAGGAGGGAGGAAGGAGGAAGGAGGAAGGAGGAAGGAGGAGGAAGAGGAGGAGGAGGAGGAGGACCTCACGAGGGTCCCGAGAGGCCCCCCAAGACATCTCAATAGGGGCATTACGAACTGTCGTGGAGCCCTGGACCCCGAGGCGGCTTCCGAGAACGCCAGGAGCAGGCTTCCAAGAGGCCTCCAGAAAACCCCAAAGAGGCTCCATAGAGGCCTCCAAACAGGCCTCCAAGAGGCATCTCACATATTAGGTCGTGCGTCTCCTCCTACATCCGGATTTTGGACGAAAAATCAATGTATAAAAAAGTCAGAAGTAGTCAAACATGCTCAAGAAATTCGACCCTGACTATTGAACATGATTAAACATCATATTCCTTCTGTAGAGGGACACGCATGACTTAAAACTAAGAGGCCTCAGGTCCACAACCCAGGCACGGTGGGGGGTTGGGGGGTTGGGCCGAAGGCTCGTAGATCCGCCGCCCGTGCTGCCTGCAGAAGGGTGCTTGGCGTGCTGGACGTGTTAATGTGTGAACCCTTCCAAAAGGTTCCCCAGTCGGGTCTGGGCGCACCCCTTCAACCACCTGTGCGGATCCCAACCTGTGGGAAAACATGTGTTCGTCCTCAACACTTCTCCAGCATGGCCTCCAAGACGGCCCTACCGTGCCTAAAAGACCATGTAGTTCGCCCAAATTACCATCAAGGCGGCCCAAGATGGCCTCAAGACGGCTCAAAATGCCCCCAAAACAGCCTACGATAATTCCAAGAAACTTTCGAGGTGGCTTCCGAGAGACCCAACATCGTTGATATTCCGTGAGTGTGTGTGTGTGTGTGTGTGTGTGTGTGTGTGCGTGTGCCTTCTTCTCCGCCCTGTCGCTGCGCGTCGGGCCACGACGTCAACAAGTGTGTGAGCTTGTATGTATGCGTGTATGTGTGTATATGTGCGTGTCTGTTTCATCAGTGTTAGCGGTTTCGCCTTTTCGGGCTTCCGACACCCGAAGATGCCCTCAGTGGCCTCGAAGATAGCCCCAGGAAGGGCCAAGGGGGTCCAAGAATCCCCACATACAACCAAGACAACCAACCAGTACCCAAAGAGGGCCCCACGACGGTCCAGGTGCCCCCAAGACAGCCTCCGAAGGCGCCCAAAGGTCCATGCCCCAAGAAGCCCCCCAAAAAACCCAAGAGGCCCCCAAGAGGTCCTTCAGAGGCCCCTGAGGGGCTTCCAGGAATCCCCTCAGGAGGCCTCCTCTCCTATTCCCTCTCCTCCTCCTTCTCCTTCCTCTCCTTTTCACTTTTCCTTCCCCAATTGTTCCCACAAAGGTCTGCACAACGACCGGGCACACATAATCAAATACCTTTGCCAAGCTTTGGCCTAACGTTTGGCCACATCGGCATTTCCAGAAAGGCAGGGGGCGGCGATGATTCGCAGGAGCCGTCGTCTAAAAAGAACACACACACACACACGCCCAAACATTGAAACCGAACCTTGGAGCCGGCCTCGAGGGGGGGCCAAACATCGTGGGCGCTTTAGGCTGTCTGGAAGATGAGAACCCAACATCAACTTAAACTTTCGGAGGTCCGCGCGGACCCCTGGACCTGCACTGGGTCTCCCTGCCTAGCGCGCCAGAAGCGCGCTGGGAGCGGCGCCGGAGGCGCCGCCAGCGAGTCTGGCGCCGATTCAAGAAATCTTCGCGGAGCTCCAAACGCGTTCGCTTGTGCAGCTGTTTCCTCCTCGGTGTGCTCCAGCGCGAGATCCAGAGGGCACCACTGGAGGCCTCCCAGATGGGGTGCGAGTGGATGGGGTCGGAAGATCGCGCCGCATCGCCGTTGCATCGGTTTGGCGACGCGCACAAGGGGGTGGAGGGAGGCTGCTTCTTAGAAGGCGCCAGCCTTACACCTATAGATAAGGCCCGCGCCTTCTAAGAAGCAGGGGTGCTTCTAAGAAGCCCTCCCTCCCCCCTCCCCCCACCCCCCTCTTCGCGTGGCTGATCGGTGATGCCACGGCGATGCGTCGGCGACGCCGTCGATGCACCGGCGCAGCCTGCGTGGAGGAGGCCGGGCTCGATGCCATCGCTCGGACCTCCATCCCCTGTGCTCTTCTCGGTCTCGTGCGTGGCCTTTCCGCCAAACGATCAAGGATGCTCCTCGATGGTCCACGCAGAAGGAAAAATGCACACGTCCTCACCGAGGACAACCCTTTGGAGCCACCATGGCCCCCAAAATAGCCGCCGAATTCCGAAGGAGTTGCGCGGCAATTTTTTCTTGTCTGAAAGCATGCAGTGCTGGGCGCGTAGGCCAGCCTGCAATGCCCCCTGACGAGCATCCATTCTGAACCACACATCTCGTCTGGAATGGATTTCGGCGCGCGCCCCTTGTCGTCTCCAAAGAACGAGCCACTATGAACGTCCGAGCCGTGCCAAGGGCTCCGCCAAATGATCAAGGATGCTCCTCGATGGTCCACGCAGAAGGAAATTATCCCGGCAAAGCAACCTAACAGCGATGTGTAGAAGCATATCTGAAAGCATTCCCCTTAAGATTCAGGAGTCATGATGCTCTCTTTTGAGACCACTAGAAACCTATCAGCAAGAGCTGTTAGGCAAAATGCACACGCCCGAGCCGTGCCAAGGGCTCCGCAGCGAGCCGCGCCGCCGAGGCACCGGGCGCTGCAGCCCGCGGCCCTCCCGCCCCCCACGGTGGTGCTCCGGACCCCTTCCGTGGGAGGCCTCGGCCACGCCGCGGGCCCCGCGGCCCGACCGGGAGGGCCCCCCGCGCGGAGGCCACCGTCGGGGCGTGGACCTAAGGAACCAAGGATTGCAAAAAAAAAACAGGACTGCAAAACAAAAAAAAACGAAGGATTGCAAAAAAAAACCCAGGATTGCAAAAAAAACGAAGGTTTTTTTGCAAACCCAGGATTGCAATCACTCCGGATCTCATAACAACGGGGGGGGGTCTGCTTCTGGGGGGGGTCCCACGGGCTTCGTCAACCACATTTGTGGGGGACTTGTTTGACCCCCCCCCCCTTTATTATGAGATTTGGAGCAACTAAGGAGCGAGGCCCCTGTTTTCCATGAGTTCAGCTTCGGTTTCCTATCGGACACATAAGGGAAGACCTGAGGCAAGCTGCGAAACACTTCAGGAACGCGGAGCCCCTCCCCAACGAAAAGGGTTCCTTGTTCAGCGCCCCGACTGTACAGGTGGGTGTCGTGCCATTGCCTGTTCCCTTGTGCCGCTGGCGACACGTCGCCGATGGATCGGCGATGCGCCCCCGATAGCGGAACCACATGGTCCAGGGCGGGGGGGAGTCATCGGGCCTGATCTAGGAAGAAGAACCCTAACACATAAGCAGAAACTTTTGGCGCTCCGCGCGGATTTCTTGGACCCGCGCTGGACCCCCCTCCCTGGCGCGCGGAGCGCGCCCGGGGCGGCGCCAGAGGCGCCGCGGGGAGGGGGGGGCCCAGGCGCGGATCCAAGAACTCCGCGCGGAGCGCCAAAAGCTTATGCTTATGTGGCTTTCTCTTCTCCGACGATCGGCAATCGAAGGGCCACTGGGAGTCCATGCGCCCCCCCCTCTGAGCCACCCCCTCTGGTGATCCTCGTCGCCCGATCTTCCGGCCGCAGCTCGGGCCTCCGGCGGCCGTTGGAGACGAGCCAAGGCACCCCCCCGAACGCTCTCGGCGAGGCGCCGCTGCGGGAGAGCATCCCGAGGCTGGGAGGCCGCCGAGGGCTACGAGAACCTTGGAAGTTCGAGAACCTCGGCCTTGAAGTACACCCCTCCTTTTTGGACGCCCGCGATGGGTACGGAATCAAAGGGTACGATGCCCAACAACAAGTCTTACCCAACACCAGCAGCGCCCGCTGTTGCGCAGGCGGCCCTCTGTCTCAAATGGAGGATGTCCGCGGCGATACCAACCACAAGTCCTGCTCCGAAAGGGGCAGAAACTGCTGCCGGTCTTCGTGCCCATTTTTTCCGTACCCATCGGTCGGAAGAAGTAGGTCGAAACATGAAGTAGGAAGGCGTTGAAAGTAGATTGGGTGTCCGCCCGCCCCCCTAAGGAGGACGGAAACGGTGAAGCCACTCGATCATTGAATTAGGAGGGCGCTTGAAGTAGACTGGAACCTGGGAGTCTGAAAAATACCTTCTTTCAAGGACCGATGGGTACCCACTTCGATCGTCCCGATCCCTGAAGCCACCACCCCCCGAAGTGAGTATCGTTTGACCGATCCCCATCCCCAGCGGCGTGGCCTGGGCCCCACTGGCCGAGTCACCCCCCTAGATGGGGACATAGGTCGTGCCCCTCGGGTTTCGAGGGGTGCATCCCCAACTGGGGTGGTAATTTGGCGGGGGTCTCGAAGGGGATGGGGATGGGGATGGGGATCGGTGAAACGATACCGACGAGCACTGCCCCTGACCAGGGGCGCTCCCCCCGGCGGTGTCCCAAGGCCACCTCGCTGGCCCGCCGGCCCGCTCCCCGCCCCGGGGCGCCCCCTGGTGGGGGGAGGAAGAAGAAGGGTACTACCGGCTGGACCCTCGACCAGGATAGCAAGGATGCGCGGTGAGGATGCAGGGGCCTTGGAGCGCCATGCTGACGCTCTCCGTGCGGAGCGCAGCAGGATGCCGAAGGATGCCGGATACCGAAGGGGCAAGGATGCAATGGTAGCCTTGGAAACCCCATCCTTACTATCATGGTTGACTGCAACGCTGCCCCCCGTGCGGGAGGAGGAACGACGACGAGGGCCTCAGTCGTTCGACAGGACGGTCCAGAGTCACGAGCCACGAGGAGGAGCTAGGAGAGGGACGGGCGGTGATGACGCAAAGGGCCTTGGACGCCGCAGTTATCCCTTTCTGGGCGGTGGACCTGCGGAAATCCTGAGGGGCCGGCCAAAATGAAGACCATCGAGCACGGGCCGCAGGCGCAAGGGCACCCCGAGGACACCCGCGCGTTCCCACGACGGGTTTTTGACTGCGTGGAGGACGAGGCGCACGACATAAAAACGCGACGACGCCAGGTCCGCCCCGGACCAACGACGGAAGGGTCCGCGGCGTGGCACGCCCGGGGGCGCGCCCCGCCCAGAGAACCTCCGGGAGAATCCGGCCATGACGGCGAGGGCCTCACCGGAAGGCCACCACTCGGGGATGGACAGACCTCCCTTTAGTAAAACGTGGTTTAGTGAAAACGACTTCGGGCCCAAACCTGGCGGGCGCAAGCCTGGAAAATAACGGCCACGGCGCCCTCACGAAAACCGAAAACGGACAATTCACTAATCGACGTGTCACTGTTGGGGGTTCTGTCCACCCCCGAACCACGAGGCACAGCAAAGGGCACGAGACCCTTCGCTGGCCAAGCCGAAGAGCATTCGAGGGTAAAGAACATCCAACAAGCACGAAAAACATGAGGGTACCCTCCCCAGACCGACCTCGCTCTCATACCTCGGTCCGGCCACAGCGGCATCGGA